TTGTGGAGCTCAGATGAATTGGCAGTGGGAGCTTCACTAAGACTTTTTGGTGGACCTTTCCAGTTACCTACTTCATTCCATTATTTTAATTTTTTTTTCAACGTTTTTTATTTATTTTTGGGACAGAGAGAGACAGAGCATGAACAGGGGAGGGGCAGAGAGAGAGGGAGACACAGAATCGGAAACAGGCTCCAGGCTCCGAGCCATCAGCCCAGAGCCTGACGCGGGGCTCGAACTCACGGACCGCGAGATCGTGACCTGGCTGAAGTCGGATGCTTAACTGACTGCGCCACCCAGGCGCCCCCATTCCATTATTTTAAACTGTTGAGAAATCCTGTGTCATTTTATTCAGGTCAGTCAATACTTATATTTGTTTAGGGAAGGAATAGAAGGACTTAAATTAACAATCAGGTGTTCTCATGGAACTGTATAAGGAAAACCAGTCCATTCTTTGAAATATGATTCACTGCCTACAGAACCATTGTTTCTCACACCTGTTCTCTATTTTGGCTCTCTATACTTCATCTGTTTAATACTTAAAGTTCTCAGGATTCTCCTTGTGTCACTTCACCAGGCTAATTCCTACCTCTGATTCAGGACCCAGCTTAGGCCTCTTATCCCTTAAGGAGCCACCCTCTTCCTTCCCAACTCCATCCTTCTTCTGAGATGTAACTCGGTAACTCTGAGATGAGTTATTTGCCTCGTAGGTCCATTCCTATAACATTCTATGCATATTCCCATAAAAGAACTTACCACAGTATGTGCATTATAGCTGTTGGTTTACTTGTCTGTTTCTTCTAGTAAGTTGAAGTCTCCCCAAGAGCTGAGCCTATATCTAATCCCTCTTTTGTATTTAGGAGATAGCACAGTGTCTGGCATATATCAGACATTCAGTAAATACTTATTTTTTTTTAAATATATGACCTTTTAATTTATTTATTTACTTTTAATTTTTAAAAAAATATTTATTTATTTAAAAGTTTATTTGAGAGAGTGTGCACATATGTGCACAAGAGGGGCAGAGAGAAAGGGAGAGAGAATCCTAAGCAGGCTCTGCAGCTGTGAGCCCAGAGCTCAACATGGGGCTTGATCCCACGAACCAAGAGATCATGACCTGAGCTGAAATCAAGAGTTGGATGCTTAGCTGAGCCACCCAGGTGCCCCACATTCAGTAAATGCTTATTAAGTAAACAATCCAATGCCCAGGTTTCTAAGTTCATCTCAAGGATAGAAGCTACCAAGGAGTGGACTAAGGTTGTAAAAACATGAAATAGGAGGGGATTAATAACATTATTACATAGTTACATATTTTGTAATTGTAAATAGAACATGTAATATCCTGTATAAAAATAGAGAAGTCAGTTCCTGATCAACTTCTGCCCTATAAACAATTCTACTAGTTGACACTTAACTATCATAAAAGTAGATGAACCAGACAATCATGTGTACCCAGAAAAAAGGTGGATAAGGGAGGAGTGAAAGATCAAGAAGGGAGTTAGTAAAATGCCACGTAGTTAGTTGCAAGCTAGCACAAAGGTGAACGTGGTTCATGAAGCTAGCTTGATTCTTGAAATAGGATCAAAGAGCAAAAGGCAACCAACAGTGAAAGCAAGGATTCACAGGAACAGGCAGACATGAGTTGGTGAGCACCCAAATGGGGCCTGGGTTCTGTGGGATTGTGGTCTGTCTGGGTGACATGGGAGAAGGGAATCTGGAGTGTGAAGCTCTGGGGAGGCTGACTAGGGAGTATTAATGTTTCCTATAGAGACAAAGATATATTGAAAAGACCTTGGAAGAAAATGAGAATAGTGACAAACACTAGCTGGCACCAGGGTCTCAAAAGAATTGAAGAGGAGACTTTATGGGGGTGAATAGGAGAAAGTGAGCAAGAGATATTTGAGAAGGTCAGTTCTGAAAGGAGTGAATTTCAGTATACTGATGTGTATACTCCCCAGTCTGTAGAAAGTAAACTTGACTATCTGTTTTGTTTTGAGTAGCATATAAAACATATAATTGACATGTTTGAAGAAACAATCTTGCCCTGGAAGTTTGGAATCGTGATCTTCCAGTGGAAGGTAATTAACCTCCTTTTTAGGAGGTCAGCTCTTATATTGCTAAATGGGTAGGATCCAATGCCTGAGTTATTGGATCACTATTCATCTTCTCAGAGTACTTATTCAGCACCTACTGTGTGATAGTACTGTTCCAGTGCCAGGAACACATCAGTGTATACAACAGACAAAAATTCCCACCCATATGTAGCTCACATGAGGATGGCAGAGAGCAAGGAATATGAAAAAAACCCACAAAAGTAGTAAACTATATAGAAGATGGAAAGTGCTATGGAAAAAAAAAAAAAAAAAAAAAAAAAAAAAAAAAAAAGCAGGGAAGGAAGGTAGAAGATGTGCATGTGGCCAGGTGGGCTGCAATTTTAAATTGAGTCGACAAGGAAGGTTTCAAGAAGGTGACATTTAAGCAAAGACTAACGAAGTGAATGAGCAAGCTTTTCAGGCTGCGGTTGTGTAAAAGAGGATCCCATTCTATACACTCTAAATTGTAAGCCATTCTTAACTAATCTTAAAGAAAAATGAGATTGAAAGTGGCGTTAGAAGGTAGGGATTAAAAGCAGAAGGGGCATTTTATGTTTTCATCCTTTGCTTTCTCTAAGATCTGTTTAGTTTCACACTAAACACCTGGTATGACTCTGCACTTTTTCACTTCATGAGAACAGATAACCTAGCATGCATTTTTTTCCATGTGAAATCTCTTTTGGCAGAAAAACAAATGTTTGCTTAGTGGGAATAGAAGCTGGAGAGATTTTTCAGAAACCACAATAATAGAGAAAAAATGAGCCCTAAGAAGCTGCTCTGGAATTAGTTACAGAGGTAGAGGAAGGCTGGTGACTGGAGAGCCCTAAATGTTCTTCTTGAGGGAGAAGAGGGACCAAGGACTGGATATGGTTTGAAATCTGGACAAGGCAAGGATCCATTAATACTCCAAGAATCTGAAATGGTTGTTTCTGTTTTCAGTTATTTAGACTGATATACATGTCCAGTCTGTTTGCTGTAAAAGAAAAATCAGCCAAAGGGAGTGATTTAAGATGTGAGTATGAATCTGGCCAAGCAGCTGCCCTATTTCAGTGTTGTTTTCCTGGGATAAAGTTTCCTTTGAGACTCAAAGTTGTGTTTTTTTTTCCCCTAGCCGAAACCTTTATTCTTAACTATGGAATAGAAGTCCAGCCTTGAATTGTGTTCAAACTGATAATTCTAACTCTGCCTTTTAGTATCTCAGAACTACCGTAGTTATTTTTAAAAGTTTAAACTCTGAATGCAATTAACTTCAATTTGTATTATTTTTTTAAATGTTTGCTTATTTTTGAGAGAGAGAGCACAAGCAGGGGAGAGGCAAAGAGAGAGAGAGGATCCGAAGCAGGCTCTGTGCTGTCAGAGGAGAGCCCGATGCAGGCTCAAACTCAGCCCCCAGGCATCCCTCAATTTGCATAATTTTATACAATATGCCACCTGTGGGAAGAGAAGCATTTTGATAAAATGAACCCTAGGAGGTCAACAAACTTGAGAATGACTGAGAATCCTCAATCTATGCTCCAAATATACTGAGTATTCTGTTAGAGATAAGGGGACTGAACAATAGGAACTTCAGAATTAGATCTTATATAACCAGTTACTGTGACTTACATAAGAAGAAGTCCAGAGATGAAGGCTGGAACAGGACTCTCAAAACTTTTTTGAGCAAAGTGCATAAAGGGCCATTAAGGAAGCCTTACATGTTAGAGGATAGCATTGTTCATGAATACCAGGAGAAAATACAGCCTAGAGCAAAGAAAATATAGCTTATCGAAGAGACATTGTTTCATGTAACCCTACTGTAGGTTTTCAGCATCATTTGTATTCAACCTGCTATAATATACTGATCTAAAACAAATAATGCTGAGCACTAATGCTAAGATTTTTGTCTTTGCTACAAACATATAAAGAAATATAGGCAAGAACTTGCCGTAAGGGAGGCTTTGGGAATAATCAGAAAAAGAAAGATTGGCAAAAGTGAAGACTGATTTCTGATCAGGATTTCACCAATGACCTGCTTTATGACTTTCAGCAAGTCATTGAGCTTCTCTGGCTTAATTTGCTCATTTGCCTTAACTTCTTACAGGGATAACATGGAACCCTGAAACCTATGAAAGATGTTTTTTAAAACTGTAACAGTCAGCACCCCTGGCTGGTTCAGTTGGACTTGGAAGAGCAATGTGACTCTTAATCTCTGGGTTACGAGTTTGAGCCTCACATTGGGTATAGAGATTACTTAAAGAAACTTAAAAACAACAACAAGAAAAACCTATAATGGTCCATTTAAGTGTTTTTAAATTAAGTTGATTTCCCTAAAATGGGATTATATGTGCAAACCCTGGCAATATTATTGGTCACAGGTAGCAGTCCAGTAGCCTGATTTTTGAAGCCTGTGGACACCCTAATGCTAGTGACTTTATAACTTCTATGTAAATTTATAACTTTAATTCAGAAATTGAAACATAGGAAAAAAGACAAAAGAGAAGGAAAGTGGGAGGGTTATTATATGATCTAAAGACAAAATCGTTGAAATTGAAAGAAGACAATTAGACTCAACAATAAGAGCAGGGTGGCAGAGAGAGCCTTGAGTATGAGGGATCCACCTTACAAATGAAAGCAGAGAATGAGGAAATATATTTTAAATCCTAGTTTTCTATTGCAACAAGATACTCTAAAGGAAAAGGTGCCAAAAGCCTATGTTACTATGGTCTAGCTTGTTGTGCTGCTTATAAAAAATAGAGAAAGAGCACCTTGGGGAAGGGCGTGGGATTTCTGTAGTAGGTATTTCTTCCTTTACAGGTTTAAACAAAAGACGAGTTGGTCTATGTTTGTCTTTTGTCCTATAAGCCACTGCAGGTGTATGAACAGCATTGCTTCTGCAACAAAAGCCTAGACTCACCACATCTTGGGAGGAGAATGGCCACTGCATGGGGGGCAGCCTTTCTCATGCTGGTGACATCCTGTGTTTGCAGTACTGTCTTCCACAGAGACCAGCAGACTTGGTTTGAGGGTGTCTTCCTGTCTTCCATGTGCCCCATCAATGTCAGTGCTAGCACATTGTATGGAATTATGTTTGATGCAGGGAGCACTGGAACACGAATTCATGTTTATACCTTTGTGCAGAAAATACCAGGTAAGTGCAACTCGTACCCTCATTGGTGCCTATTAATCTACACTTCAGCCTCTCCTTCTAGAAATGAATGTGCTGAGAGTATGTGATATGAATAACAGAATCTTAATGCTACTGAATGTCTTTCTTCAGAGAAGATTTTGGACGATAATTGAGCATATAGTTTAATTCAGTGTGAAATTAAAGAGATCTGGGTTGCCTGTAGTCTAAAACCCATATGTCCAAGAAATATAGTTGTAATTTGTCCTTTTCTCTAAAGGTAGTTGATACTTCGGATCCAGAATATTGAGAATATTGGATGTGGTCTTGAGAGAGGATCACTGTCATCCTTGGAGGAGATGAAACGACCCTGAGGATTAACTTTTTGTGAATTTCCAGTGTTCTCAGGTTACATATAGAGCCTAAGAGCAGGAGTAGGAGCTAGGTGTCCACCCCAACAAATGGCAGAGGGACTCTCAAGAATTGCCTGTCATCTTCTGTCCCTTTACTCAATACTCCTACAAGCCACTCTTCACAGGTGGGATTACTTGGGATGGCTTGGAGGAATAGGTTAATCTAGTAGGTCATATGATACAGAACCCACTATCAGAAACAGTCTAGCTTTTGGTAATCAGCCATCTGTCTTCTGTTTTCTTCCATGGACAAAAAGGTCAGCTTCCGATTCTGGAAGGGGAAATTTTTGATTCTGTGAAGCCAGGACTTTCTGCTTTTGTAGATCAACCTAAGCAGGTGCGTTTTTTATAACAAGATGTTCAGATTCTCAATGCTTTAATAACTTTACCACGCTGCTGCTGTTAAATACCTCATGCTGTTCACTACTGATATTGAGTCATGTGTAAGATCAATTTTCTGTCCTCAGATATACTCAGCTATACTTGTACATCCCAAGCTCACTAGGGCTTGGGCAGAACAAAGCAAGAATAGATTGTGGATATGCAGGGATGACACCATTTTTTTTTTAGCAGATTGCTCCCTTTGTATTTACTGTTTAAGATTTTTGAGTTGAAGCCATCAACTGCATTGATTAATGTAGATGGAGAAAATAGACATGGAGTTCTCTATAAGGTATGAGGTATAAACATAGCAGTTGAGGAACTGTAGACCCAATGAACTTCATTTCAAAGTACCCTGATATAGGACAGATCATGTATACCTATACTCTAGAAATTAGGGAAGAACTCATGAAAACAAAAATCTTTGGTATTAAAGGATGTATAGAGAGTTTTGTCATGACTGTATTTCACATTTGAGCACCCATAACATGCCATACCCAGTGTGTCAGAGGACATACCAAAATAGAATAAGGCAGAATATTGACCATTTGGTAGCAAATGTAAAGATATTGTTACAAGCATAGTCATTAACCAAAGGAAAAACTTCTATTAAAAATGGCTTGCGGTACATGACTGGCTCAGTTGGTAGAGCATGTGATTACTTAATAAAATCTTAGAAAAAAGAATGGCTTGAACTTGAAGACCTGTGAAGATGTTTTTTTTTCTCAGCTCACTAATATGAAATGGTAAATGCGTCAGAAAATTGGGAGGTGTCAAAAACTGATTTGACATTTAGAGAAGATTTTGTTGTGGTTGCTAATAATTCTGATGATTTAGAGGTAGCAGCATGTTGTCAGATGTTCACTCAGGGAAACAGTGGATTTAAAATAATGGTTTTTAATTTCATAAATTGAGTATCTACTCTGTCCTGTGCGTGTAGGTGGTATGATGCAAAAATGTACCTGGCAGGTTCTGTCCTTCCAGAGATCATAAAACCTGTAGCATGGTAATAGCCACACCAGCCTTTGTGTGCACGTACATGCAGTCTGCCGCATGCAGTGCACTCAGCAGTTTTTCAGTGGGATGAGGCGTATCTCCCATCGTAGAGTTGAGGAAACCAAGTCCCTATATGAAGCCACAGAGCTAGCAAGCAAGTCTTCTAACTCCAAATCCGGTGTTTTTTTCACTGTACCCAACTTTCTAGCCTGAAGCTAATTTATGAGACACAAAATAACAATCAGTTAAAATGACCATGCTATATAAGAATAATTTTTGTTATCATTCAACCAAAATTAAATGCATTTTCCTTCAAAGAAGCCTACTTATCTAGGTTTCTTCTCCTGTAGAGCAGAGAGTGGTTGGAGCCCCCTGCTCCCTCACTCCTGTTATCCCCCTGAGCATGTTGAGGGAATAGACAGTTGCCACTAAATGAACTGTTCACTGTATGAGTAGGTCATCTCTTTTGAAGGGTGCTGAGACTGTTCAAGGACTCTTAGAGGTGGCCAAAGATTCCATCCCCCGAAGTCACTGGAAAAGAACCCCAGTGGTCCTGAAGGCAACAGCAGGACTGCGCTTATTGCCCGAACAGAAAGCCCAGGCTCTGCTCTTTGAGGTAATCTTCGAAGTCCTTTGCATCACAGATGATTATTTTTCCCTCTGTGAATATTTGCCTTAGGGGTGTTTAGCTCTTTGGAATGTGACTGCTACCTTTAGTATTCCACCATCGCTAAAGCACTCTGGTAACTGGTCTCTTGTTCTAGTTACTCACGTTTTTAAACGTTACTCTTGAATTTATACAACTTTTCCTAAAGAATTTTAAAGTATTTCCTGTCCATGATAGTCTTAACTCTTCTAACTTATTAAAACAGAATCACAAAAATTATTTTTAGCCCACTTTATTGAAGTATAACTTAAAATGTATACGTTTTCAGTGTACAGTTAAATGAATTTTGACAAATTCAGAAGTTTCCTTATATACCTTTGCAGTCAGTTTCCTCCTCCCGTGAAGCCAGACAACCACTGATCTGCTTTCTATCACTGTAGATTAGTTTTGCTTGTTCTTACATTTCATATAAATGGAGTTATACAGTTTATGTTCTTTTTTTAATGTCTTTTTTTCTCTCAGCATAAAGGTTTTTTAAATTAAATTTTTAATTTTAATTCTAGTATAGTTAACATACAGTGTTACATTAGTTTAAGGTGTACAATATAGTGATTCAGCAAGTCTCTACATTACTCAATGCTCATCATGATAAGTGTGCTCTTAATCCCCTTCACTTATTTTACCCATTCCCCCTGCCCCCACCTCCCCTCTGGTAACTATCAGTTCTGTATAGTTAAGATTGGTTTGTCTCTCTCCTTTATTTGTTTTTTCCTTTGTTCGTTTGTTTTGTTTCTTAAATTCCACATATGAGTGAAATCACTTGGTATTTGTCTTTCTTCTGACATATTTCACTTAGCATTATACTCTCTAACTCCATTCATGTTGTTCCAGATGGCAAGGTTTCATTCTTTATGGCTAAGTAATCCATTGTGTGTGTGTGTGTGTGTATGTACACACACACATATGTACACACACACCATATCTTCTCTATCCATTCATCAATTGATGGACACTTGGGCTGCTTCCATAATTTGGCTATTGTAAATAATGCTGAAATATAGAGGTGCATATATCCCTTTGGATTAGTGTTTTTGAATTTTTTGAGTAAATACTCAGTAGTGCAATTACTGGATCATCAAGTAGTTCTATTTTTAACCTTTTGAGGAACCTCCATACTGTTTTCCACAGGGGTTGCATTCCCATCAACAGTGCACAAGGATTCCTTTTTTTCTTACATCCTTGCCAACATGTTGTTTCTTTTGTTTTTGATTTTAGGTATTCTGATGGATGTGAGATGATATCTCATTGTAGTTTTGATTTGCATTTCCCTGATGATGAGTGATGTTGAGCATCTTTTCATGTGTCTGTTGACCATTTGTATGTCTTCCTTGGAGAAATGTCTGTTCATGTCTTCTGCCCATTTTTTAATTGAATTATTTGTAGGTTTTTTGGTGTTGAGTTGTATCGGTTCTTTCTATATTTTGGATACTAACCCTTTATCAGATATGTTTTGGCAAATATCATCTCCCATTGAGTAGATTGACTTTAGTTTTGTTGATTGTTTCCTACACAGTGCAGAAGCTTTTTATTTTGATGCCCAATGGTTTATTTTCCCTTTTGTTTTCCTTGCCTTAGGAGACACATCTAGAAAGATGTTGCCACAGCTGATGTCAAAAGAAATTACTGCTGGTGCTCTAAGATTTTTATGGTTTCATGTCTCACATTTAGGTCCTTAATCCATTTTGAGTTTATTTTTGTGTGTGGTGTAAAAAAGTGATCAGTTTCATTCTTTTACATGTAGCTGTCCAGTTTTTCTAGCACTGTTTGTCAAAGAGACAGTCTTGTTCCAATTGCATATTCTTTCCTCCTTTGTCATGACAAATGATTAATTGACGATGTAATTGTGGGTTTATTTCTGGGTTTTCTATTCTTTTTTTGTTTTTAATGTTTATTTATTTTTGATAGAAAGAGCATGAGCAGGGGAGGGGCAGAGAGAGAGGGAGACACAGAATCCAAAGCAGGCTCCAGGCTCTGAGCTGTCAGCACAGAGCCCAACGCAGGGCTGGAACTCATAAACCATGATATCATGACCTGAGCCAAAGTTGGACACTTAACCGACTGAGCCACCCAGACACCCTCTGGGTTTTCTATTCTGTTCTGTTGATCTATGTGTCTGTTTTTGTGCCAGTACCATACTGTTTTACTACAGCTTTGTAATATAACTTGAAGTCTGCAATTGTGCCAACTCCAGTTTTTTCTTTTTCAAGATTGCTTTGCCATTCAGGGTCTTGTGTGATTTCATACAAATTTTAGGATTTTTTGTTCTAGTTCTGTGAAAACTGCCATCGGTATTTTGATAGGGCTTACATTAAATCTGTAGATTGCTTTGGGTAGTATAGACATTTTGATAATATTTGTTCTCATCCATAAGCATGGAGTGTCTTTCCATTTCTTTGTGTCACCTGCAGTTTCCTTCATCGGTGTTTTACAGTTGAAAACTATACAGGTCTTTCACCTCTTTGGTTAGGTTTATTCTTAGGTATCTATTATTATTATCATCATTATTATTATTCCATTTGAGAGAGAGTGTGACCGGGAGAGAAGGGGGAGGGGAAGGGGGGGGAGAGAGAGAGAGAGAGAAAATATATCTTAAGCAGGCTCCATGCTCACTCAGCATGGAGTCCAACTTGGGGCTTGATCCCATGACCCCAGGATCATGACCTGAGCAGAAACCAAGAGTTAGATCCTCAACTGACTGAGCCTCCCAGGTGCCCCCTTATTATTTTTTTAATTTGTTTTTTTAACTTTTATTCATTTTTGAGAGACAGAGGTAGAGCACAAGCTGAGGAGGGGCAGAGAGAGGGAAACACAGAATCCAAAGCAGGCTTCAGGCTCTGAGCTGTCGGCACAGACAGGGCCTGATGTGGGGCTCAAACCCACAAACCATGAAATCATGACCTGAGCTGAAGTTGGATGTTCAAACGACTGAGCCACCGAGGTGCCTCTTGATGCATTTGTAAATGGAGTTAGTTATTTTCTTAAATTCTCTTTCTGCTGCTTCATTATTAGTATGTAGAAATGCACACTAATATGCATTAATATGATTTGTGTACGTTGATTTTATATCCTATAACATTACTGAATTCATTTGTCAGTTCTAGCAGTTTTTGGTGGAGTCTTTGGGGTTTTCTATATGTAGTCTCATGTTATCTGCAAATAGTGAAAATTTTACTTCTTTACCAATTTGGATACCTTTTATGTATTTATTTTGTCTGCCATGTCTAGGACTTCCAGTACTATGTTGAATAAAAGTGATAAGAGTAGACAGCTTTGTCGTGTTCCTGATCTTAGGAGAAAAGCTCTCTGTTTTTCCCCATTGAGTGTGGTGCTGTGGGTTTTTCATATAGGACTTTATTATGCTGAGGTATGTTCCCTCTAAACTTCTTACTTTGTTGCTGGTTTTTTATCATGAATGGATATTATACTTTGTCAGATGCTTTTTCTGCATCTATTGAAATGATCACATGGTTTTTATCCTTTCTGATATTGATGTGATGTATCACGTTGATTGACTTGCAAATATTGAACCACCCTTGCATCCTGGGAATAAATCCCACTTGATTGTGGTAAATGATTTTTTTTTTAATGTATTGTTGGATTTGGTTTGCTAGTATTTTGTTGAGGATTTTTGCACCATCAGAGATTTTGGCTTGTAGTTCTCTTTTTTTGTGGTATCTTTATCTGGTTTTGGTACCAGAGTAATGCTGGACTTATAGAATGAATTTGGAAGGTTTTTTCCTCTTCTATTCTTTGGAATAGTTTGAAAAGAATAGGTATTAATTCTTCTTTAAATATTAGGTAGAATTCACCTGTGAAGCCATCTGATCTCAACTTTTGCTTGTTGGGAGTTTTTTGATTACTAATTCAGTTTCTTTGTTGGTTATCCATATGCTTGAATTTTCTGTTCCTTTCTGTTTCAGTATTAGGAGGTTATATGTTTCTAGGAATTTATCCATTTCTTTGTCCAATTTGTTGACATATAATTTTTTATAATCTCTTATTTGTGTTTCTGTGATATCAATTGTTATTTCTCCTTTCGTTGTATTTTTGTTTATTTGAATTTTCTCTCTCTCTCTTTTTCTTATTTTTAATGAATCTGGCTAGAGGTTTATCAATTTTGTTGATCTTTTCAAAGAACCAGCTCCTGGTTTCATAGATGTGTTTGTTTTTTTTTTTCCCTATATCATTTATTTCTGCTCTAATGCTGTTTCCTTCCTTTTGCTGGTTTTGGGTTTTTGTTCTTTTTCTAGCTTCTTTAGGTGTAAGGTTAGGTTGCTTATTTGAGATTTTTCTTGCTTCTTGAGATAGGCCTGTATTGCTGTAAACTTCCCTCTTAGACCACTTTTGCTACATCCCAAAGATTAAAAAAAATTTTTTTAATCTATCTTTATTTTTGAGAGAGAGAGAGAGAGAGCAAGCAGAGAAGGAATAGAGACAGAGGGAGACACAGAATCCAAAGCAGGCTCCAGGCTCCAAGCTGTCAGCACAGAGCCTGATGTAAGGCTTGAACTCATGAACAGTGAGATCATGACCTGAGCCGAAGTCAGTCACTTAACCGACTGAGCCACCCACGTGCCCCTATTACATCCCAAAGATTTTAGACTGTTGGGTTTTCATTTTCATTTGTCTCCATGTAATTTTTTATTTCTTTTTTGATTTTTTTCAATTTAAATTATTTTTTATTTTTTTTATTTTAGAGAGAGCACACACGAGAGGGGGAGAGGGGCAAAGGGAGAGAATCTTAAGCAGGCTCCACACTCAGCATGGAGTCCAACGTGGGGCTCAATCCCACGACCCTGGGATCATGACCTGAGCCGAAATCAAGAGATGTTCAACCAACTGAGCCACCCAGGTGCCCCTCTTCTTTGATTTCTTGGTTGACTCATTTATTGTTTAGTAGCATCTCAGCATAAAGCTTTTGAGAAGAATCATGGAATTTTAAGTGTGAGAGATTTTTAAAGATCATCCATTTAAATTTCTTATTCAAGTAAAAAATTTAAGTAGAGAAGTTTTTTTAAACTCAGTATTTTTAGCATTATTGTGCATACTTATTTTGCATAAAACATGCAAACTCTAGGGGTGCCTGGGTGGCTCAGTTGGTTAAGCATCCGACTCTTGATTTCAGCTCAGGTCATGATCTCGTGGTTTGTGAGTTGAGTCTTGCATCGGGCTTTGTGCTGATAGTGCGGAGCCTGCTTGGAATTTTGCTTCCCTCTCTTTCTGCCCCTTTCCCACTTGCTCTCTCTCTCTCTTTCAAAATAAATAAAAAATCAACTTCAAAAAAATTATTGAAGGGGGGTGCCTGGGTAGCTCAGTTGGTTAAGTGTCCAACTTTGGCTCAGGTCACGATCTCACAGCTTGTGAGTTTGAGCCTTGCATCAGGCTCTGTGCTCACAGCTCAGAGCCTGGAGCCTGCTTCAGATTCTGTGTCTCCTCTCTGCTCCTCCCCTGCTCATGCTCTCTCTTTCTCTCAAAAATAAACATTAAAAAATTTTTTGGGGTGGCTCAATTGATTGAATGTCCGACTTTGGCTCAGGTCATGATCTCACAGTTCATAGGTTCGAACCCCACATCAGGTTCTGCTCCTGGAGACAGCTCAAAGCCTGGAACCTGCTTGCAATTCTGTATCTCCCTCCCTCTCTGCCCCTCCCCTGCTTGTGCGCTCTCTGTCTCTCAAAAAGGAATAAATGAACATTTTAAAAAATAAAAAAAAAATGTTTTAATAAAAAATTATTTTTAAAAACATGCAGACTAATAAGATTTAAATTATGTATGAAGAATATTTACAAGTAGGATCCCATTATAACAAAAATTACAAAAAATTATTCTATATTATCGGTGTGTAATTCAGAGCTCAAAATCCATTTTCCTTTGACTGTCAACACAGAGCATTTAAGTCCCTTGTCCAAGGACAAGCTGCCTAGCATGTTTGCATGAGAATCTGAATCCTGATTCCTTATTCATGTATTCATTTATATTCAGCATATGAGTGCTGAGCATTGGTGAGGTTACCAGGGACATGCTGCCTGGAGCAAAAAATGACAGTCCATGCTGTGATGGAACTTACATTCTGGTTGCAAGGAGACAGAAAGTAAACAACTAAACAACTCACTACAAAGTATGTCAGGTGCTGTAGATGCTATGGAGAAAGAAAAGCAAGGGAAGGCAGCTAGGGAATGCTGGTAGTCATGTGGAGGGATGCTATTTTTAATAGGGTGGTCAGGGAAGACTGTTGATAAGATGCATTTGATCAGAGACCTGAGAAGAGTAAAGAAGCAAGCTATACAAGACATTTGTAGAAGAATATTCCAAGCTGAAGCAATAGCAGGTGAAAAGCCTAAATCAGGGAAAATGCTTGGTATATTCAAGGAACAGCATCCAGGAGGTCAATGTAGCTGGAAGGGAGTGAGTGATGGAAGTAGGAGATGAGATCAGAGAGGTGTGAGGGGTTTATTATGTAGGGCCTTAAAGGCAAGTGTAAGAACTTTCACTTTTTCTCCAGGAAGTAAGTCATTGGAGGGTCTTGAGAGGCAGCATCTGACATCTGTTTTAAAAGCACACTGTGGCTGTTGTGTTGAGAATAAACTGTGAGCAGGGGAGAAGAGTGGAGAGGACAAGAGTAGAAACTCTCTGTGTTTATTACTGTTTGCTTATCTATCTTCTCTTTAAAAACTTGTTTATAGATCACTGAGTTTTCCTGGATGAAACAGGGTCCAGAGGTCACCACATGAAGTGTTTCATCCTATCAGGAATTAAAACAGCCAGTAGACCAGAGTTCCTTCTATTCCTGTTTGGAAGTCTCCCTCTGCCTCATGATAATCATATAAAAAAAATATATATAAGACATAACACCCATATAATTGACCTCTATTTGTGGAGAGTCAAGAGTGTGTGAAAGATATTAATTCCCATTTCCTAAAATAGGATAAATAAGTCTAGACCTGGGGTCTCTGGACTCTTGAGGCCTCAGCCATGTTCCAGAATCTAACAGGGGCTGAGAGCAGAGTACTCCAGCCCATGGACATGAGTCCTCTTTACCCGCAAGGGCAAAGACCTGCAGAATTTGATGGGAGAGCAGAAGAAATGTTTCTGTAGCCTCAGGAGCTGCCCAGGCCCAACTCTTCTCTACCATCCGTTTATCTTGTCATCTAAGAAATGAAGTCGGAAAAAGTCCTCTTAGCCTCCAGTGTGCCCAGGCAAAATTAATAAGGTGTTTTTTTAAAAAAATTACAGGATCCTAATTTGAGCTGAAAGAGTCAGATGTATGCCCTTTCTTAGGTCCAGTTCACCTATAAATGTAGACAGCGGTTGAGATTATTTATTTTTAAAAATTTTTTATGTTTTTTTTGAGAGAGAGCATGAGCAGGGGAGGGGCAGAGAGAGAGGGAGACAGAGGATCCAAGCAGGCTCTGTGCTGTCAATACAGAGCCCAATGTGAGGCTCAAACTCACAAACCTTAAGATCCTGACCTGAGCTGAAGTCAGACACTTAACCCACTGAGCCACCCAGTGGTTGAGATTTACTTTAAAGTCAGAGTAATCCCTGTGTTTTTGTTTTTACAAGAAACCGACAATGGTTTGTGTAGTTCCCTTCTCTGGTTTTTTAGAGAAAAGGAATGAGTTCTGCTAGGGGTGCCTGGGTGGTTTAGTGAGTTAAGCGTCCAACTTCGGTTCAGCTCATGATCTCAGGGGTTGTGAGTTCGAGCCCCACATTGGGCTTTCTGCTGTCAGCACAGAGCCGATCTCAGAGTCCGCTTTTGATCCTCTGTGCCCCTTTCTCTGCCCCTCCTCTGCTCATTCTCTCTAAATAAATAAATAAATAAATAAATAAATAAGAAAGAAAGAAAGAAAGAAAGAAAGAAAGAAAGAAAGAAAGAAAGAAATGTGTTCTAAAATTTTATTTAGGGAAATGAAGAGTGTAGTTTTCTAAACCTTATACGATATAGCCAAAGTATGGAAATCTTTATTGCCTTAGGGAATCCAGGTTTTTTCCCTTTTTCTTTAGGTAAGAGAAATCTTCAAGAAGTCACCTTTCCTGGTACCAAATGACAGTGTTAGCATCATGGATGGATCTTATGAAGGTGGGAGAGGTGTTAGTACATGTTCTGGGGGGAGCGGGCCAGGGTTAATAAATATTTTGATTAAAGGAACTGGGAACAGAGGTGGAGGTGCTGAAGTAAAAGGAACTAAATGAGGAGAAACACACAAGGAGGGATGGGATAACAGGAAATTGAAGGACAGGGAGAAGGAATACGTGTTTTAGACACAAAATTTAGAGAAAAAAAAACAAAACTGGGGTCGAGGAAGATTAGGGAAAAATGCTCTTGAGATGTAATCCTTGTTTTTCTCTGTCTTTCAGGTATATTAGCTTGGGTTACTGTGAATTTTCTGACAGGTAATACATTCTCAAGTTTATTCTAAGATATTAACTGGGTTTCACATGAGGGTCCGAGCAAAAAAAATCTCATTTTGCTTGTATTGTGCTTTAAAAAAAAAAAAAAGAAAGGAAGGAAGGAAACTATAAGAAGTTACTGTTTATACCTGTCTTCAAGGCCTCAGCTACAGCAAGAATCCTTCTAGGTTAGCATTCACCTATACCCTTCGGGACCAGGGAGCAGTGGAATACTTATGAAACACCTGCAATATACAAGAGCAGGACAGAGATTGCGGACAGAGGAGTGTTGAGCTGTCCAGGAAGCAGAAGATATTCAGAGCTGGCTCTCATTCACAGGTCAGCTGCATGGCCAGAGCCGGGAAACTGTGGGGACCCTGGACCTCGGGGGGGCCTCCACCCAAATCACATTCCTACCCCAGTTTAAGGTGAGTCATTTATATGAAGGCCTGGTTAGCAACCCACTTGGCAAACATATCATGGTGCCAAGAAAGTGGTACCCCATTTTAGGACAGCAGCTCTACCACAAATAGTCTGAGTGGAGTCAGTTAATAACTGGGTGTACTTCCCCTTGCTCTCTCATTGTTCAGAGTCCCTTTGATTCCTCCATCCCTTTGAGATTAGCAGCTTAGTCTGTGTTTCTTTTCTGATTTCTTGGGGGAGGGACAGGGATCGTGGTGGTAACACCTCCAAACGCTTGCAGATCCTGAATAGTCTTTTTGCTTTTTCTGATTTGCAGAAGACCCTGGAACAAACCCCTAGGGGCTACCTCACTTCATTTGAGATGTTTAACAGCACTTATAAGCTCTATACACATAGGTGAGGAGGGGGACATGGAGGAATAATATTTCATGTTGTATGATTCTCCTAACCTTCCAAAGCATTTTCACATCTGTTACTGCATCTGACCAGCCTCACGAAGTTTTTGCCAATCCGCAAAGGTCTAATAACTGAAACCATAGCTCAAGGACCCAAGAGATTTCTCCATTCTTGGCCTCAGAAGTGTATAACTTAAAGAGTTAAAAGTTTTCTGTAGAGAGAACACTTGGAGAAACTTCAGCCAAAGCTCTGTACCAATTCCTTTGAGTTTGCTTTCAGATGTTCTAAATCTGGCCGTGGATTTGATCACATTGGGGCTGGAAGCTAAGATAATGAGAGCTTTTCTGGGGATGGTTCCCAAGGTCGGACTGTACGAAGTGTCACTATCTCTGGCCTTTAAATCATAGGCGTGGAAAGTTCTGGATGGCCTTGATCTAAACTGCAGAAATTACCACTTGTCCACACAAGATGAAGAGGTTGCAGAGAACAAGGTTTTCCTCCCTCAGAGGGAGACACAGAAACCATGCTACTTTGGAAAGAGGTAGCTTTAGGTTGGAGAGCTTCAGGACCAACATGAAATTAGTCAATCCTATATTTTACAGTTACTTGGGATTTGGATTAAAAGCTGCAAGACTAGCAACCCTGGGAGCCCTGGAAACAGAAGGTTCGTCTGGGTACCTATGCTGGTTGGGGTATGGTGAGAATGACATCAGTATTCAGCTTGCCTTTCCCCTTTCTTGACAGTGATTCTGTGGAGGAAAGCTTTACGCCAAATTAGGAAGCATGTGTTGTATACTGGACCTAATAATAGCAAATTTCTTTTCTACTTTATGTTGTGTTCAGTAGTTTTGGTATATATTATTAGCCATTTCTGGAATGAAGGCTATATATATAGGGGGAACAGCCTGTGACCAGAAGGCTGAAGTGTGCAGAAATTCAAGGTTTGAAGAGTGAATTTGGCAGAAGCTTTTTCAAGCCGTTAGTTTTACGTGGGGGGTGCAGGAAGCAGTCCACTTGCAAGAAGCACCCACTGCAAGGGTGCAGTCCACTTGCAAGATGGAATAACTGAACAACTTTATTCATCTCTTTCAACGTGGTTGAACATTTAAGATCTCAGCTTTTGAGGTCAGGTAGAACTGGCTTCAGCCAGCCTTTTGATTTTGGGCAAGTTAGCTAACCTTTCTGTGCCTCTTTCCTCCCTTTATCTGAGATTTTGCATTTAATGTGCTTTCTATGGTGCCTTCCTGGCTCGCAGTAAACTATTACTGTGAGAAAAGTAGAAGCGTATTTTTTACCTTTTTAAAATTTTTTTTAAAAAAATTCTTTTTTTAATGTTTATTTATTTGGGGGCGGGGAGGGGCAGAGAGAGAGGGAGACATAGAATCCGAAGCAGGCTCCAGGCTCTGAGCTGTCAGTATAGAGCCCGACACAAGGCTAGAACCCACAAACCATGAGATCATGACCTGAGATGAAGTCGGAGCTTAACTGACTGAGCCACCCAGGTGCCCCTACCTTTTTTTTTTTTAGAAAAGAGGGAACATATTCCATTGTAGGTTTTGGGTTTCTTTGAGATGTGATAAAAACCATGAACCTTTCTGCCAAATACACATATGCACAAAAATTTATAGTTTCAGGAGGTTCACCAACCCCACAAAGCCCATCTATGAACCCTGAGTTAAGAATTCCTGTCATAGGACCCAGTCATGGAACTACCTACTTTGGTAATTCCTTTCAACCTTACTGTCTTCTTGCATTTGTGTGTGCATGTGTCTTTCACACATTCTATCTCTCTGTCTCTCTCCCACACATACACACACCCTTGCTTCTTACTTCGTGGTCTGGCTTCTTTCAGGGATTGATGGACACACTTTCAGAAGTGCCTGTCTACCAAGATGGTTGGAAGCAGAGTGGATCTTTGGGGGCGTGAAATACCATTATGGTGGCAACAAAGAAGGCAAGTGATGTTTTTTCACTGGTTGAAATTACCTTTACAGTAGAAGTCTGGAAAAGTCCCACAGGAGATGTTTTTCAGAACTTAAGAGAAGCTTGTCTTTTGCAGGGACTCATTCCAAATAGATCTTGGTATGCCTTTAAGGAATAGTATGAAGTGACAGTGAACAAGGCACTGTCTCTCTGTCCTGCTCTTTCCCTGCCCAAGTGTTGTAGACCCATTAGAAGCCTGTTCTTAACCTAGGTCTGATGCCCTCAGCAAGGAGGAACACTATTTCAAATTCAGTTAATGTTTAGCTTTTTATTTTATTTTTTTACTTAAAAAAATTTTTTTTAAACATTTATTTATTTTTGAGACAGAGAGCATGAACAGGGGAGGGTCAGAGAAAGAGGGAGACACACAATCTGAAACAGGCTCCAGGCTCTGAGCTGTCAGCACAGAGCCCGACGTGGGGCTCGAACCCACGGACCGCGAGATCATCACCTGAGCCAAAGTCGGACGCTTAACCGACTAAGCCACCCAGGAGCCCCTTTTTTTACTTTTTTAAAGTTTATTTTTTAAGTGTATTTATTTTGAGAGAGACAGAAACCGCATGAGCATGAGAGGGGCAGAGAGAGAAGGAGAGAAAGAGAATCTCAAGCAGGCTCAACACTGTTAGCACAGGACCTGATGCAGGGATTGATCTCCTGATCTGAGCCAAAATCAAGAGTCAGCCTCTTAGCCAACTGAGCCAGCCAGGCGCCCCATTGTTTAGCTTTTTAAATAATATTATATACATTTAAAACTGAGACCATGAGAAAAAGAATTCATCTCAGGTGTTATAAAAAGCAGAGACCTTAAAGTCAAGATAAAAAACTCAATTTTTCCAGTGAAGGAAGCAGGTGAGCCTTCTGGATGCTCCTCATGAATACCATGGCATGTAAGGCTAGGCAGTAGCTTCAGGTTAGGTATGGCTATTTTGGTGAACACGGGTTAGGGAGGGGAGCTGCCATGGGGAAGCAGGTACCTTTCCTCCAGAGTGACAGGACTGTGGAAGTTTGCTCAGCTTTGTAAGCCCTTTGTCCTCAGCCCCAGCATCTGCTTTCATTGATCCTCCTGCTGTTTCTTTGTTGGCTCCAGAGAGCTCTTATTTTTCTCACATTGTGCCTGTACACTTTTGCCCTGGCAGGGGAAATGGGCTTTGAGCCCTGCTACACTGAAGTGCTGAGGGTGGTCCAAGGAAAACTTCACCAGCCAGATGAGGTCCAGAGAAGTTCCTTCTATGCTTTCTCTTACTATTATGATCGTGCTGTTGACACAGACATGATTGGTAAGTTTACTCCAGGTATCAGTCTAGGGAGGAAGCTGGGCAAACCTGTGGTGGGGAAGGGAAAGGGAGAAAAGGAGAATTTTAAATGCTTCATTATGAGTGATCACCTTACTTCTTCTCCATTGCTGGCTATTGAATGACCTTAGTCACTGCAATGGAAGGATGAATATGATTTAGAATCTTTTGGAGCTAGAAAGTGGCCTAAGCAAATACATATGAAATCTTTTTTTTTTTTTTTTACATTTTTATTGAGGTATAATCAACATAAAATGTGAATATTTAAAGTGTATAATTTGTTTTGACATATGTGTATACCCATTAAGCCATCAACAAATTCAAAATAATATATCCATTACCCCAAAAAGTTTTCTCCTCCCCCTTTATAACTTTTATTTTCGTATCACAATAGTACTGCTTTTTGTTGGTTCTGTGAATGAATGTATGTATGTGATCTGTCATGGCCTGAGATATGAGTTAATTTCCTATTTTCTGGGTTTTTTTAATAGGTCATTTTTTATTGTGGTTAAATATACATAGAATAATTATAAATGAATTAGACACATAGATTGTGTTGTATGGATATGTCATGTTTGTTTATCCCATCTTGTAATGTTGGAAATTTTACTTCTAGTAAAAATTTACTTTAGTTTTTCATTATTATAAATTTCACTAGGATGAATTTCCTTATGTTTCCTTGAAGGCTTTTTGACATCAGCTACTGTTTCATTTTAGATTATGAAACAGGGGGTGTTTTAAAAGTTGAAGATTTTGAAAGAAAAGCAAGGGAAGGTAAGTGCCAGTGGGAACCCTTGAAGACGAGTCCATGAGGCTGTGCCTGCCAACTCTAATGACCTTAAAGTGACCCAAAGCACCACAGTCAGCAGAAAGCCGCTCAGAAGGCTGGTTTCATGTTTCTGCCAGGAGTTAAAAGCATCAAGTGGCATAGAAAACCATGGGAATACAAGAAGCTTTGGGGAAATGATGAAAACCTTTTCTTCTTTCTTTTTTTTTTTTTTT